GATGCGAGCCTTTTTTGGGTATACTGAAGCGATCTGGTTAGCATTGTGAGGTTTTTGCTGTTGGGAGAAGAACTGGAAGAGATGTGTTTTATTTGAAATATATTTTGTGGAGGTGAAAGCTATTGACTTTGAAAAATATAAAACAGAAAAAGAGGGAACGGAGTCAAATGGTTTCAACTTTTGACTTCTCTTTTTGCACCCAGTCAAAAACAAAACACTACTCAAAAATAAAGACACCGTCCATTGGCCGTGACTGGACAGCAGACACCAATATTGCCGCCATGAGAAGCTCAATAACAACTGCTGTCAAGTAGTAGCCCGACCAAGACCACCGTTCGTTTCTTGCCCTCTCGTGGTAGCCAATGTGGCTACTCCCGGTGTAATACGGAGATGCCCAGCTGGAAGGGCTCAACACTGGGTCTGAATACAAGCAGCAAAGCAATTTAAATATTCGAAAGAACAAAATGGCTGGAAAGAACATCCCAATGACGAGTATCCTAAAAAGAGATTTTCTTCCACGTCTCCAAAACTCACACAACTCACATTCACACCGAACAGGATCTTTGTCGGTGCCCGAGCCTTCTAGATATTCCAAGCTATCCGCTTTACTTCCTGGTTCAATAACGTAGGAAGCCATTAGGATCATTAGGGTGAAGACAAGTGGTAACTATGCAACAAACTCGTCCCCTTTTATGCTTTTTCGTTTTTTATTGCAATTAGCAAAGGCAAGGTGTGAAAATTTCCTATTTGGGGTGTGACAATGATGGGTGTCCCCTACAATCTCAACTCGCTGCTCTGCAGCCAGCATTCGTAGCAAAACTGTTTCTATGCTGGGCCAGTTTTGTGCAGCACAACCCACAAGCTCAACTTCCCTGTAAGCCCTACTTCCGTCATGAGGCTGTAAAATCAAAGCGGAAAAGAAAAAAAAAATTGTGTCAATTGCATAAACCACACAACAAATCCAATGACATAGCACATGTCAACACTAGATATTCCTCAACTAGCAATACTTCTAAAGTCCCCAAAAGTCAAAGATAGGAATGATGCTTTAGTACAACTCGAAATTATTACTTCTTCGCGATGGAGACTACCGCTGAAACAGTTGCGAATATTAGCTAGTGCTATCTTCCAGTTAATAGATAACGAATCACAACAGTTCATACACAGCAAATCTACCACACAGGCATCTGTGGCATCTCGTTTGAATAAAGCCAGCTATTTTCTAAGGCTTCTAATTGAGAGGTCAATCACCGATAAGCTAAGCATTAAGTACAAATATTATCTCGAAATATGCTTTACTATCAAAGGATTATTCTACATACAAGATCAGCTTTTGAGTCCGTGTTGTATTGATTTTTCGATGACAATAGCCGCTATATTGGGAATTAATTACGTTAATGAACATTTGAATAACAAAGACTGGTCGGCAATTTATGCATTCCTTGTGACTGCTGTTGATCGAACCTTGGAGGATATGACAATGGCAATGCAATTCAGCAGTACCAACGAAAAGGTTTTGATAGAAGTTTTTACGGCATTGCAGAGTCTACTTCAGTGTGACAAGTCGACCAATTGCCTTCAGTTATTTGAGAACGAAAACTACTTTAGACTTTTGCCTTTGTTGAACAAGACTATAGCTTCTTTCAAGAAAGAACATCCAATTCATATTACAATTTTCAAGATTCTCAACAAGCTCATAATTGTTCTTGCGACTACCGACTTTAAGTTTGTCCACAACTTGATTGTATTGGGCCTCGAATTAATGGTAACATGTCAGAAAACACGGTGGGAAAAACTTCAAGAACAATTCTTGATCTTTTTGAATTTGCAAACAACTCATGATTTTATGTATTTAGAAAAATTTCCCAAGCTTATAGGAGATACTGAAATCGAGTTTGCTTTCCTTTCGGAAGAATCTATTGAAACACAAAGTAATAACGGAAGTGGGCCCAACTTACTATATTCTATGGAATTGCTCATTATTGAGTTGTTGAATTATTTGCTTGTACTATCTTCGGAGGATATATGTCGAGGAATTGGGCTCATGGATTCTTGTGAAAATGCTGACTGGTTCAAACTTCGCACTATATATCTTAAAGGTACGGATAGCCGATGCTGGTTGTACACAACAGCAGCAACAAGGTTGGTAAAAACATATTTTGATGTGAAGAAAAACTTGATGCTTCTGCAAGAGACAAACAGGGTCGGTAGAAGTCATATCAGTGACATTATATTCAACAACTTGGTTTCTTCATATAGCATGATAGATTTTTGTAATTCGATGGTCCTGTATCGAGCACCCCCGGGATTCCACTTGTTGGGTTTGACTTTGATGGTTTTCTATCTTGAATTTGAGATACAACTGAAACCTGGAAAAGAAGCTGTGCAAAGCCAGGATTCGGTTGGCACAAGTAAAAAGGCAAATACATCATTTGACTTTACTTTGTCCGGCATGTCTGATACAATCGATTTACCAGAGCTTTTGCAAAGTGCCCTAAAAACAGTTGACTATGAGTACGGCTACTTTTGGCTCATGATGTTGGCAAGATCCGTTTTAAATACAACCAACTTGCAAGAGCTTAATCTGAGGAAGAAGTACGAACAACTTCGCCAAATCCTAAAGTTGGCTCTATATGGTATAAACAAGCCCTACAGTCATGTTGCTTGTGACTTGATTTCTGGACTAGTGTTGCGACATCATTACAAAGCCAACAAGATTGCTGACGATGCAATAATTACACAATTGGAATCAATAATCGATTTCCCTGGAGTGAACGGACCGTCAATTCATAATGAGAGTTTTGGCTTTTGGTACACAGTAAATACATTATGCATTGACCTCAACATAAAAAAGAAAAGCGTCTTGGCCCGCAAGATTGATGAATGGTTGTGTGAAAAATGGGATACTGCATTCACTTCGGAAGTGCTTATCGAACAGTCTTTTGATGAATTTGTATGCTGGTTGTACGGATTGGTCCCCAAAGTCGGTAATAAACTCGAACATCGAAATTCCTATGAAGGATCATTTACTAAGCTTATGCATTTGCAAATGTCTCAGCAGAAATTGGAGTCATTTATTGCCTTAAAGAAGAAGGCTGATAAAGTTGAGGAATCATTGAATGGAATTTCACCGATAATGTCTGTACAGAACTTCAATTTTTGGAGTAAGGTTTCCTCCATGTTCAGCAAGTTGAATACTGAGCCCATTTCATATGATAAGCATTTTAGCTGGTTGATTTTGCTACTGAAATTATTGCTGAAGATGTCTTGCATATCGAGCAGTCGTGATCTTTGGGACACTCTATACTATCAAGTCACCATTGGGCTTGAAGCATACCTGACTTTTAACGTGTCAATAGAAGATACCTTTAACATCATTCGCATGATTGTTGACTATTCGTTAGAGGATGCAGATGGGACAATTACTTTCCTTTCAAGGGTGCCATTTGATAAATTTCTTCGTTGCCTCGTGTCGAGTTTCCAAATTCGAAACAATCGAGTAAAGAGGCCGCACAGTGACGAGGATATAGAATTTTCAGAGGTTAGAGAAAGTAGCACTACTCCAGAGTCAGCATCGATTGTAACCTATGGCTACCATGAATATAAATCCTTACCCATTATTGACCTTGTGAAATTTAAAGTATTGCAATTGCGTGTTTCAGGAAAGGATGACATGGAAATCTTGTCTCAGCTAATTTCATTCATTGAACAATTTGGTAACGACAGCTTCTTGCCAGCTCTCTTGTACATTGTTGACGAACAATTGCCAATGATTCATTGCACTGATCAGAAGCCGCCTTTGATAAGATTGTTACGGGCATTAGGAGGTCGAGCTCTCTCAGACCAGGAATTTGACCGAAATGAGATAGTTTTGGTTACCGTCTCTCGAACTGTTACTCACTTACTTCCGTTACTCGTACCCTCGTCTGATGATCCATTATACAGAGATTGCTTTGACATTGTTCAATGGCTCTACGCATTGGGAAGCAAGAATTATATCACAACTGAGATATCACTGCTTGACTATATCAAATTTCTCGTCACTTTCTTGCAGAGCAATAATGAAATGTTCATTTCACAGGCATCGCTCGTGAAGGAAACCTACTTGAAGTTTTCTCAATCAACTAATACAATGAAATCAAAAATGGTTGATGATTTTTCCAAGCTCATTGAAAATTCCAACACCTCTGAGCAAATGGAAATATACTCAAAATTGTTTGAGTACTTTGTTACTCCTCAATCTTCTGTGGAACGCGGGGCAACATACGTTTTCTTTTTTTCCCTTTTATCTGTTTCTTCCTCCACGATTTTGAGGTTGGCTTTGTTTAATCTAACAGAATGTTCCAAGTTTACCTTTTTTGTTCCTTACTTGAAGCTTGCTTTTAATGAGCTTTGTATAAGATATGACCTACCTAGTCTGCAGAAACTTTTCGCAACAGTCAAATTGGACTTACTCAGAGGGTGGTGGATTTTCGATTCAATAAAGACGTTTCCATTTTCTTTATTCAGCTACGATAGTTTATCCGAATTCTTGAGTGATAACTATCGTGAAATTACAGCTGTTGTTGTTTCAACGAAGTCAAATTCAGATACAGATTTTAGAACTGGAGACCGATCAGTTGAGCTTTTGTCGCTAATTGCAAATGTGAGAAATATTGCTCCGGAGACACTAGTTGTGGAAAGCTTGTCATTGATCATCCCGTTGTCCTACACCAAAAATGGAATTAAAAATCGAAGTTTTGAAATTTTGATGGGCTACATAGGGAGCTTTAAACAGGAGATGAAAATTCAGCTCCCAGTGATCATCTTCGAAATCATAAAGATGCTTGACGTTTCAAATGAAGCCGAAATTGCAAGGCTACTTCCAAGAATTGCACAGGTCTCGCAATTGATCGATCAGGAATCGAGTACCGTAAGCAATAGCTCTGAAATGGTTGTTCCTATGCTTCCGGGTCTAGAATTGATCAACAAAGTGGTGGATAAGTACTATACAGAAAAATCCTTCTTCTGGTCAACAGCGATGATATATTTTTTAATTAGGAGAGTTGGGATGTCATTAAGTGATGCACATTATCAGAGCACTTTGGTGTTTGGGTTGCGACGAATCAAGTTGGTACTCATCATGGGTGGAGAAAATTCATTGTCGTTAGATATCATTAACTTGATTGTAAAAACATCAACATCATTGCTTGAGGATAAGACGGTAGCTCTAGAAGTTTACCGCATGCTTGCCATATTTGAAAACTTTTATCAGGTGGAAGTTGACTATTTTGAAAGCTTAAATACCATGTTACTTTTGCTAAATTCGCTAATGGCAAATCCTGTACATGTGAATAATGAGTTGTATGATAGTCTTGTTGATAAATTGAACATTTATGCAGATAAGCTCCTAGAGCTTAGCCGGGATGCTCCTGGAAGGAAAGTAATAATAGCTGCCATCAGAAAATTAAGAGGTGAGCAATCATTGTTGCAAACAAGTGATATTGAAGAATTCTTGAGTGAAAAAATTAGTTACACTGCTATTACTGTTGCTTCCAAGATGTTTCTGTCTGTGGTAGATCCAGAAGTGCTTTCAACGAATGTTGAAATGTTGAAAAACATACTTGCTTTGAGTAATGAACAACTGTCACGACTAACGGAGCAATTCAAGCTATGGTTGTCAAAGTGTTTGTCGAAATATTATTATGATACAAAAACGTCAAACTTGTTGGATTTGCTTGAAACAAGAGAGTACGATGGTTCTGACCAACAGGAATTGAGGCTGGAATTGTCCTTTCTAGACTGTCCAATGAGGGAACTCGTTAAATACTCTACCGAAGGAAACTACTATGAAGCAGCTTGTGCCGAAACAGTGTTGGGGGTCTTTTTTGACATGGAAAAAGCAAACCCTGTGACCTTATCGCCATTTGTCAATGTTGAGCCCATTTACATTTTGATGTCAGGATTTGTTCAGCGATTGAAACTTCAAGCATGCGTGTTGCTTAACGATGAACCCAATAATATTGTTGCTGACACCTCTCTTGGAAACCTAATAGATAGCTTTGATTCATTTTTTGACCTCAACCAAAACAACTGGTGCCCCAAAGTCTGCTTGGCAGTTCTCAAAGAGGTAGCCACATTTAGCATTATTGGATCCGTGATGAGTATCTTTGTTGTTAAGGTTCCGTCATTTGCATTAAAGACAATAGCATCGTTTATTTGCTTTTATCTCAATGTCGCAACAACCAGTGGGGAAGATATAATAGTTGCCATGTTGAACAGCTTTGCCAACTTGAAGCATCCAAAGAAAGATTCTATCAGAGTTTTCGTTGGTATCTTGTTGAGTGTGAGAATTGCCTCAAAAACTTCCAATAATCCATCTTTTTCAAGAGTATTTGAAAAGGTAGATATACTCAAGTATTATGAATTGGCATCTGAATGCAAGATGTACAAATCGGCGTTAATGCTATTCGAAGATGCGTTTTCTGATCCAAGATCATCAGTATTGTTAGAAAGCCAGCATCTGACGTTACAAACTGTTTACGAAGGCCTTGATGATACAGACTTGATATATGGTCTACCTGAGAAAACAAGCTTGGATCATTGCTTGACCCTGCGATTAGAAATGGGGGCTTCCGATGTTCAATTTCAATACAGTAGTGGATATTTGGATGCTAGTTTAAAATTAAATGCACCCCCTTTGAACGATTTTACCACAATGATGCCAAATTCTGGTATGTTGGGGATATCGCTGATAATCAGTAAAACCATGAACCAATTTGTTACTGAAAACGAAACTTACGAGTGGAGCTGGAAATTGTCGAAATGGGATCAACCTGTGCCTAAATATGAGCAGAATGAACACCAACTGATATACAAGGTATTAAAACAAGTTCATGATTTTCCTCAAAATGGTGAAAACGCTTGTCGTGAATCACTCTTGCGACTAATGGATGCCCGCACGACGGGAGAACATAAAGCTGTCAAGGACATACGAGAAAGTTTTATGGGCTGGCTAAGATCGTTGGCTTCGGTAACAGCCATTGAAGACACGATTAACAGTACTTCATTTTCCACTTTAGATGAGGAGTTGCCTGATTTTGAAAAATTTGAGAATATCATATTAGCAAAACAAACGAGTCTTCAAATCTTAGCGGAACAGCCCGTCTCCCACACTCCTAGTGATCTGCTCTGGTCACTATCTTTAAAAGAATTGGTTTTGTACAACAATCTTGCTCGGGTTAATAATGAGCAACAAAAGATGGTTTCCTCAACAGTTTTGATTGATAGCATTTGCAAACAGTTACAGAACTCACAAAGCGCATTGAACCAGAACTTGCTGCACTTATCGCTGTTCCAATTAGCTCAGTCAATGTGGAAACAAGGTGTTACCAATATCCCAGTTTTGATACTAAAAGAGTTGTATAACGCAGGTGGAGTCGATATCTACGACCAGGAGTTGAAAGTGGATAAGTTTATGATTAAGGCGATGATGATAGAGTGGATGTCAGAATCGCGTCAGGAATTAGCATCGAACTTGATGGAGAACCATGTATTACCGACAGCGGAAAAGGCTTTGAGGTTGGATGATCAGGTGCAACAATCGAGAATCTTTCGATTATTGGCACAATTCTGTGACACACAATATAAATCCAGAACACTTAGTGAACAAATTCAAGTATTAGAGAAACGTGTACGTGACAAGGAAACTGAGATTGAGGAATTGAAAATCCATTATAGCTCCTCGCAGCTATCATCCGATGAGAAACGCTCTATTAATAAGTTTTATTCGAGGTTAAAAGTACAATACAAAGCCGAGTGTACAGATTTAGAATATGCCAGGGTTAGTAGAAAGCAGTTTGTGGTTAAAGCAGTTGAGTATTATTTACTTGCGATGACAGTTAGCGATTTCCCAGAAGAAGATTTAGATAAGTTTTGTGCCATATGGTTAGAGCAATCGAATGATGATGATCTCAACGATCGAATAGGACGAAAGCTTCTTTCGTTGCCTACCCACAAATTGTTAAGTTGGTGTGCACAATTGATTTCCAGATTAACCAAAGAGGTGTCGAAATTCCAATCGATTTTGAAACAGTTAATTTTGCAAATGTGTGTTGATCACCCTTATCACACTTTGTATTTGTTGTTTTCTTTGAAGAAGCATAAGCTGTTGGCACAAAAGGATGCCAATCCATTGCTTGTATCCAAGGCAATAGCAGCCGAAGCATTGTGGGGTGAATTAATGAACCAGGGCTCAGATTTCGTGTATGGAACACTAAGCGCAATCCAAGCTTTCAGCGAGGAGTGTATACGATTGGCTGAATTTAAGGCATCAAGAGGCAAAACATTAAATCTCGAAAAGCTAAGTGATTTTTCTTCCTTCTGGTTGCATAATTTGCCAAGAGTACCTCCCCCAACAAAGTCTCTCAAGGTTGATAAAACCAAATCTTACCTGGACGTTCCTGTTATGGTTAAGATGGAGAAGAGAATTGCCACCGCCTCAACTGGTTTGAGCTTGCCCAAAATTGCTACATTTCTTCTCTCGGATGGTTCTACGCATGTAATGTTGATGAAGCATGGAACGGACGATCTTCGCCAAGACTCCATTATGGAGCAGGTATTTGCAAAAGTTCAAAACGTATTTACCAGAGACAAGGAGTGTATCAAGAGAGGTTTAGCAATTCGGACTTACAATGCTGTGCCACTTGGTCCAAGATCAGGGGTTATAGAGTTTGTACCAAATTCGACGTCACTTTTGGATGCCATCCTGCCTTATCATGCCAAATATGATAAAATGAAGATTGAAAAAGCCAGAGATATCATGCGACAATGTCAGAATCAGGATAAAATTGAACGGCTCCACGAGTATCAAAGAATTGAAGCAAAAATCAAGCCTGTGTTGCATTTGTTTTTCCAGGGTTGCTTCCTCTCGCCTGACCAGTGGTTTGAGAGTAGAGTCAAGTATACACACGGTGTTGCAACTTCCTCCATCGTTGGCCATATATTGGGTTTGGGCGACAGGCACTGTAATAACATTTTGCTAGATAGGCAAAATGGGGAACCAATACATATTGACCTTGGTGTCGCCTTTGATCAGGGGAAGCATTTGGCCATTCCAGAGACAGTTCCTTTCCGGTTGACCCGGGATGTTGTTGATGGTTTTGGGGTCACCGGTGTTGAAGGTGCTTTTAGAAAGTCGTGTCAACATACCATGAGAGTGTTAAGAGAGAGTAGAGATCACATTATATCCATCTTGGACGTATTGAGATGGGATCCGTTGTATTCATGGACCTTGTCGCCGATTAGGAAAAAGCGGTTGCAGGAAGATGAGGCTAGACTGGGGATACAGCCTGAGCAAGACGGCTCAGAAGCCGGGCGAGCTGTGCTTGCTGTGTCTGATAAATTGGTTGCCAATGGTTTGAGCACTGAAGCGGTGGTTAGAGAGTTGATCCAGGAAGCAACAAGTCCCCAGAATTTGTCTTTGTTGTACTTTGGATGGTGCCCATTCTACTAAGAAATAAAGAGAGTGTTTTTGTTAAAGGGGCATGTTAAAACTTTTAAAAAAATAGGGTATAAGTAGAACCAAGCTTGTAAATAGAACTAGCTAGGCAATGTTTTTGTTTTGTTGTGGAAAACCGGCAAAGGCAACGTAGGGAAAACGAAGTAACTATTGTAGCTATTGGAAACGCCTGAAAAGCAGCTATACCAACCGAACAAGGCACTAATCACAACCAACACACCGCCACCTCGAATACAACGAACACTTTGTCTCATATATCCAGCCGCGAGTAGGAAGAATCCAAAATCCAATGTGAAAAACAAGAGGACAAACGGCCAAGTTGATTTAAGGGTGCAAAGCAACATCATAAACGTAAAAATTCCCCAACCAAGTAAGAAAAATCCTGCTGCATTACCAAACTCCTCTGTATCAGCACCACCATAAGCCGGAATAATACCAAAAGTATCAATAAAAATGGCGCCGAATGACATCCAAAAGCTACCATAGCTGACAAAGGCAGTTGCAGCAAAAGTATTGCCAATGAAAAGTTCAAAAAGGCCAGCTATAAATTGCACTACTCCTCCGTAGAACACAGCTGCGCCCATCACTGCATTCAAGGTAGTAATACCCATTGCTCGAGCTAAAAGCAAACCGGCAACAAACGCAGTCAAAGCAAACCCTGCCAATCCCACAGCGGATGCATTTCCCCATTTGTGTTGAGGCCATGCAGTGTATCCAGGATTAAAATCACCCTCAGAGGGTTTCTTCAAGTCCCTTCTAAGCACCTTTTGATTATTTATCACCGTGCGCTCGTCATCGGAAACAAGGGTTGAGTGCATGCTTGTTTGAGGGGCAAACTGTGGGTTGGATGGGCCGGCTTCCAACGGAGTAAGAGGCTCTGGTTCGTTGTTTTCTTCTATTGATACCATTTTGGGGTGACCTTAATTCGTCTGAATTTTAAATTTTGTCATGATTGCAGCAAATTGTGTCCAATATATGTCCCCATTTGAAGCATTAGTAGTTTCCTCAACTTTCATCATACGTAAAATCATGTTCATGCAAGCTTTAAGATGCAAATTTACAAAACTAGAAGCAATGTTGCTGTGTCTAACTCTATTTGTCACCGTAAAGCATACCCCTGCGTGGGAAAGTGAAGTAGTATTGCGTTGTAAAAACATTTTGGTAGCTCATTATTATTGGTGTCGTGATTTTTTTTTTTGGCGACACTTGGATAACAGAAATTACGGCGAATAAGCCAATTAAGAGATTTTTTAGCTTTAATCTGAGGCGCTAGTGGTATCAATTGGTTGTGCTAGAGTCCTTTGGTGATATTAACTTGCTCTGAACTATTTTAAAAAAAATATTAGTGAACATTTTGGTTAAGTTTTGCAACAAAATATGGAAAAACTAAAAGTGAACCTATTTGGTGTAGAAAATCATGGAAGGTTGCTTAAAACATAGGATATAGGTGCTTGAACAACTCTTATTCTTTACCGCTTAAGTATACATGTCAAGTGCCTACGTGTTGCTTTGACGCTGCCAAGTAAACTTGGCTTTAACAGATTTTATATACGACAGTACTGCATGTAAGTTGTTTCTGTGAAACGTTCAAAATTATCTCGAAATGTTTATTCTTTCTCGTTTTTTTATTTTTGGCGTAACGGAAAACAGTAAGAACAGTATACGTGTCAGACATTAATATCGCCCATGTACCTATCATATGACCAGCTTTAGAGCCGAAGAAGAACTACCACTACAGGGATGTATTGTACAAGTTCCATTAATTATCGAGAATGAAGCATCATCGAAGATACTTTCCACAAACTCTATCTGGGTTCACGTTACTAAAGCTGACTATGAACCAAGCGCGGATCCCAACTTTATAAACATTTCACTAGTGTCAATATGGGCCGAAGGATACTACCATACAACCATCAAGAAGCAGAACATCTACAATGTCTTTGAGAATTCGGCGTCAAGGAAGATCCAAATTGATCGCGAAAATACATATGATGTGTTTACCGACTTGTTCCCATTAGATTTGGATACTTTAGTTGAAAGTAGACGTAAAGACGGTATACATAAACTGCTTCTTCTCAATGCCAAGATCAATGTGCTGGAGAGCAATTTTAAAAGAGAAGAAGGGCTCAATACTGATACTATGCATATACAGATCAAGAGTAACGGGACATTTAACCCAACTGTAGGCAGGTTTGAAATGACTTCAGTGGATTTTGAAAAAACTGAGTATCTAAAGGACGAGGGAAATCTATTCAATTGGATGGAGTTGCTCTGCTACCAGAGAGACGAATTAGCTAGGAGACAGATTGAGTCTTGCGCCGAGATTGAACGTTTGCAAACCGATAATAGCCTTTTGCAACAGGGAATGGAGCAAGCAAAGAATGATTTTGAAGAACTAAAAATAGACATGGCATCCAAATTCTATCAAGGAATGAATGCAAAGAAAGATTTTATTCATGAATTGACAAAGGCTAGTCTACCGAAAACTGAGTTGCTTGGATTGAATGCCATTTTCTTGGCGAAGATTGCCGATAGAGGTGATGACATAAACGCATGTCCCCTCAAAAAAAAGGGTACTCGTGGCAAGCGTGTCAAAGAGGAGAAGGGATCAAGTAAGAAGAAACGAAAGGTCAAAAAGGAGGACGAAGACAACGAAGAGGGGCAAATAGACTACAGAGATGACACTACCCACACCGATAGAGACGATTCCGATGGAAATCCCGGTCAACTGGTCAACAATAAATTCAAGAAGGATCCACGGATTAAACGTGAATCGAGGTCCTCTGAGTTGAAGAATGGCTCAGAGCCAAAGGTAAAGAAAGAACCAGAAGGCGAACCAAAAACATATCTGTCCAAAGCTGACTTCAGAGTTGAGCCCAAAATTACACAAGAACAGAATACGCCAACTGCACCTAGATCTCCTGAGTTGAAAGGCGATTTAAATCCCATCATTGTTAAGCCTGACCCGTATACTGACAGTACACCTCTTAATCACTACCCCTTTTCGTTTGGCAACGAGGATTCACAGGGCACATTGAAGGCAGATAGTTTATTAAAGAAATCGTTGAACTTGGAAACTGATCGCGATATTTTCAACAAAGCTATGCATGTCAGCTTTCAAGAAGGAGGTAACAAGGATAAAGACGATGGAGAGGAGCACGAAGAGAATGGAGGTCAAGACAGCGACGAAAAGATGGAATATAATTCTTCAGAAAGTGATAATGAATCAACACTGTGTCTAAACGGGGATGGGAAAGCTAAGGATAAGGGTGATAAAGAAGAAGACGTGAAGCAAGGCGAAGAAAATGACGAAGAAGGCACCAGCTCTAAAGACAAAAACTACGAGGGGTCTTTTATCGAAGACAGCCTTGAGAGCAGTATTTCCAAACTGAAACCAGATATAAACAATGAAACCCAAAACAGGACAGACTATTCTGATGAAGAGTTTAAACATAAGGAGGTTGATAATGATAATAACAAGAGCCAGCGAGAGGTAAGCCAAGCTGAGGCAGAGACTGATTATAGCGACGACGACGATGATGGTTGATCTGCTATACTTATGACATTTATGAAACTACTTAATATCTTTAATATGACAATATCTTCTGCAATTGTGGTCGTGTAGATGAAGATAGAAGTAAGCTCTACTCTATGGGGGGCTAAAAAGGCTTAAAGTTAGATTTCTCTCTTTCTTATCATAAGGCATGAATAAATTCTCCCTCCTAGGAAGGCACAACACCGCAAGAAGTGGAATAAACAATAAATTAAGCTTCTTTCACAAAGATTTTCATTTCAGAAGTAGATGTAATTTCACCATTTTCAAATTCACCTTTCCATTCATTACGCGGTCATACAATTTTTTTGCAGCAAAAAGTTTTCATAGTGTTCGAAATCAAATAGCGCTAAATTATACCACCAACTATTCAAAATAAGGACACAATATCTAAAATAGAAATAGACGAGAGCCATAACTGATAAATTATTGTTTTATCCCTACTTCTTTGGCTTTGTTTGGTTTGTGATGTACTGGCTGTTCAATTGACATAAGACATCGAGACAAGGTACCATGAATCCAAATCTGCAGTAAAAAAAAGCAACTGTTTCAGCTTCTGCCTGTATAAATAGATATAACTTCAAAAAGATACAGATGTTACTGTGATAAATCCGTTGTGTATCTCTTACTGAGTGTTCTCACTTGTTGATTCAGTTGATGCTACTGCTTTACCGAGATGTTTCATCCTGCATATAATTCAAAAAGGAGAAGAAAAATTTGTTCAACCGTTTTTTATAATTTTTTAAATTTATTTTCATCTCTCTTCTTCTTTTCATTTTCTTTTAATAGAGATCAATCATCGAAGCAGTTGCATCAAGAGGAAAAAGGGACCGACAAAAGACTCATTCATTAACATCCACCCACATCGATCCATTGTTATTACTACTTTTCATTTCATTTCGAGTCTTTTGGATTTTTCATCTTTTATTTGTTCATTTTGATTTTTTTTAATTTGATTTTTTTTCCATACATTTAAACGCTTGGAAGAAAGATCCCCATTTACAATTCCAGGCATATCATTATTCATTTTGGCTCTTTTTTCATTTTTAATTTATTTCCCACATCAGTTTGATTCCTGTTGCTTTACTTATACGGTTTTGATAGAATAAAAGGCAAGAAACTGTTTGATCTTTTGTTGTCATTTTAAGTACCATATTTTTTTGCATTTTTTTCCAAAGTCACCACTGATCTGCATTCAACACGGTGACAAATTTTGAAATAGATATACTCCCCTTGTCAAGAAGGCCTTTTCATTTCATTAGAAGAAGGATATACATTCCTTATTGAGTGTTTACAGTAATTAACGAAGTTTTTATCCACGGATCAAGCCCACTACAACCTGTTTTTACATTCACTTTCTGTTCAACATGTCATATTACGATCCGTATCAAGGAATGTCACAACAGTACCTTGGACAACAATACTATCCACAATACTACCCTCAACAGCAGAACCAATACGGTGAAGTTGACGCGTTCACGTTGGAACAAAATGGTGTCAATGGCGGTGCCGCAGAGGGACATCACAACACTGGCTATGCTAACCCACAAGGTCAATTTAGTGGATTTGATTCTGGCAACACGTCTCATTTGGTAAATCCTAATCATTACAACCCTGATTTAGACATCCATCAATTTCCCCAGTACAATAATACATCTTTTCAGGACCATGGTGCGTTCAATGGTGTGGATGCTCCAGCTATTGGGTCAACCATAGGCGGAGAATTCTATACCGAGGATGGTTCTTTTTTAAATGGTAATGGATCCAACGGAAATATCGCCTACAACGATATGTTATCTAGTGATTATGACCAACAGGGCATCATGGCGCAACCAAATGACATGTACCAACAACAAGCTTCTGGTGTCCAAGGACCAAATGCATCCAATGTGTCAGCTTTAGGAGCTGGTGGCCCTTCAGGTGCAGCAGCCGCAGCAGGTGTTGCAGGTGCCGCTTCGACTGCTGCGCCATCACGAACAGTTTATTTAGGAAACATCCCTTCTGACATTGAGCCTAACGAATTGTTAGACTATGTTCGTTCAGGAATCCTTGAAAATGTCAAAATCATTCCAGCAAAGAACTGTGCATTCATTTCGTTTATCGACCATCAACTGGCGTTACTTTTCCATTCTGATTGTATATTAAAGAAACTCAATATTAAAGGGCACGACATTAGAATTGGGTGGGGTAAAAACACTCCAATTTTACCTGCAGTTTTGGAAGCTATTCAACGAGATGGGGCTACAAGAAATGTTTATTTGGGTAATTTGAACAATCCCATCACGGGAGAATTGATTACAGAAGAAGAATTGAAAAATGATTTGTCTTGTTATGGTATAATCGACAGCATCAAAATCATCCCCGAAAAGGGTATTGCATTCATTCATTTCTTGAGTATTCTTAGTGCCATTAGATGTGTGGCCAATTTGCCATTGAAGGACAAGTACTTGGATAAAAAATGCTTTTACGGTAAAGATAGATGCGCCTTTATCACAAAGACGCAACAACATAATGCGGCACAATATCTAGGTTTAGCTCCCGGTATGGAGCATATTGTCACAGCTGCAGACCGTGAATTCATTTCAAGTGCTTTGGTTCAACAATCGGCCGCAGCAGCACAAATTGCAACTCAAGCTGGTGGAGCCAATAATTTGGGCAATCGTACCGTTTATTTGGGTAATTTGCACCAAGACTCTTCAGTCGAGGAAATTTGCAACGTAGTTCGTGGAGGTTTACTACAAAGCATTCGATTCTTAAAAGAAAGACATGTTTGTTTTATCACCTTTATTGACCCAATTGCTGCTGCTCAATTTTTCGCCATGTGCCAACTACACGGATTAACCATTCATAATAGAAGGATTAAAGTTGGTTGGGGTAAACATTCGGGACCATTGAGCAATGCGCTTAGTTTGGCTGTTTCCAATGGTGCTTCAAGAAATATTTATATTGGTAACTTGAACAATTTTGAATTTTACAATCCGAGAAAGTTGAGAGAGGATTTTTCCAAATTTGGTGATATTGAACAAATCAATTATCTTGAGGAAAAAAACTGTGCTTTTATCAATTTCGTCAACATTGCCAATGCGATCAAGGCTATTGATGGTATTAAGCTGTTTCCTGATTACAAGAATTTGAAAATCAATTTTGGTAAAGATCGGTGTGGAAATTTACCTAGACAGTTTCAAAATCAGGGGATGCCTTTAGCTGGTGGTGCTTTGGGTCTTTTGGATAATGCATCAGCAGCAGTAGCAGTAGGAGCATCTCCAATACCAAATGAGAGTGGAACTGGCACTGCAACTGATAGTGTAAACGGGTCATTGTCTGATTTGAGAGAAGGCAATGCCTTACAGTCAGGACATAATGCATTTGAAATCACTACCGCTGCAAAAAGTAACTCAAACTCACCTATGCATACCCCAAACAACTCCAGTTTCCAATAAAGACATTCCTTAATCTCAACCAGTCACTGGGATCATTTGTTGTCCCCCCCCCACACCCTCATTTTTTTATTTATTGAGTTCATGATGATGATGCATTTGGCATTTTTGTTTCTTTCAAGCATTTCAAAAACACGTTTTTTTATACACACCCATTTTTGTTCGTTTTGTTTTTTGTAAATACTAGTTTTTTTCGGATTTTATTCATCACATAACCACCACCAGAACTTGGTTGTTGTTATTTGCTATTGTTTTATACTATACTGAGGTTCTTTACTTTTATATAAAAAAATTTTAAGGTTTATCATTATAAAGAAAAAGTTATCTTTGGAGCTTCTCTTTCCCCTTTTTATAAACTTCATACAAGTTCTTATACATAGATACAAGTCCTTTGAAAGGCATGTAGGGTACTGCTCTCTCTCTCTTTTTTTTCCAAGACTACCTTATTCTGGGAACGATTACAACAAAAACAAGCATCAACAAGAATACGCCAATGACACCAACAACACATTTGAGCAAGAACCACAAACTTATTCTTCCACCCGTCTTGTTTTCCAAATAATTGTTCAAGTTGCGATCAATTACTTTAAACAAGTTTGAGTTTCGTATTATATTTTCATTAGTTTCATTAAGAATCGATAAATCATCACCCAAAATCTTGGAACTTAGTGACATGGCACTGGTCTTTAATGTTGATGTAAGTTGTGATAGCTCATTGAGAATGTCATCTTGGATTGATTCATGGTAGGTGTTGAGTTTATCGACGTCGTTGGATGATGACGTTGATTCGAGATCGAGTTTGGATTTGGAGCCTGACAAAAGTCGATTACGTAACTCGGTCAAGTTCTCATCATCATTGTCAGTAGATGTGACATCTTGTTTAGTTAGTGATTCGGCGCTGGCATCTTCACTAGTGGCGGCGGCACTTTGTGGTGTATTTTCAACATTATACCAATCAATTAATTGATCAACAATGTATAATTTTTCATCAATCACATCAACCAATAACTTATCTATCCGCAGTTTGAGCAGCAGGTACAGCTTATTATTCTTGAATCGATCCAATGACGATAACTGCTTCAATAACGAAGACTGTAGTAGCTGTAATTTATACTGAGCAATGTAGGGTGATTGGGATATGCGTTGGCGTGACGTGGCACTTGATGGGGAGAACTTGTTAAGCCCAAACAAGTCGGGTAGATCGAGTTGATGTACCTCTGACTCGTATACGTTTACTATGTTTTCAATGGTTCTTATTGATGACATGGATCGGGGAGACAATTGGGGAGTTCGTTGCAAAATGTACTAATTGTTGTTTAATTTGCGTGTTGGAAAAAAGAGATAAAATGAGAATGAAAATTGGAGATCACGATGTAGTTGTTACGGAGTAGCGCAACCGTGCGGTCTCCCTTTCCTAAATGTGGAAAGGGAGACCGCTAAGGTAACTGGTTCTTGTAACCTTGAAGACCAAATGAGGTGTGGTGATTGAGCAGGCCCATGAGGAATGATTTCTGCTGTAGACTCTTCATCCGCTCAACGCAGGAATCACCCCTACACCTGCGACTCCCTCTACTCCTAAATCCTACATAAAAATAAATGTCAGCCCAACTACTATCAAACAACGATCTACGGAAATAAATTAATTAAAATGATCGTGGTTAGCGAAAAAGGCTTCTTTATATTCTAAGGATTCTAAGAAAACAAAGTAAAGGTATGTCATTAACCACAGTTTTTCATAGACTGTGAAAAGTCCAAAAAATACTAAATGGTTTATAATCTCAGTGTTTTGTGAGTTTCTTTATATCCTATTTGACATAAGGAAGAAAGGAAGAAAGAAAGAAAGAAACAAAGAAACAAGAAATGGTGGAAGATTTTTGCGATGGTTTTATTTTGTTTTTGTTTTGATGACATTTTTGGTTTGACAGGGACACGACTGACTGACTGAACTGACACTTCACGTGCCTTTATTTTTTGTTTCGCAGCAATTTGTACCTACTTTTGTATTGCAGAGAAATTGGCCCAAAAGAGAGGAGGTGGCTTTAGTACGATTAGGTAAAAAGTGGATCTTGTTTGATAATGATTTCTAATAAATTTCACCAATGGATTAACCTAAATGGGAAGTTTCATTGAATTTCGCCTACTTTCATGGTAAAGAAAGACCAACATGACTTTCGATGAAAAATTTGCTGCTTGTCTGGAAGTTGTGATTAAGCTTCGGGAACATTATATCATTGCTTAGCTTCTGCCACAGTAATGAAGGTCTCTAAAGTTACAGGAAGGGGATGTATAATGGCTTTTAAAGTAGTTAGACAGATTTTGTGGTTTAATTTGAAGCCCCACAAGGCTGGAGTCAAAAAAGCCAGCAAGCACAGACGAGCGAAATGAGTCTACAGAAAAAATTATTCATGGTTAAGCTGCTACAGAATAATTTCTGATTCTCTCACAGAACTATGTGTTGATCTCGCCAAGGAAATAAACTAGGTATCAAAAAAGAAACGAAGTCAACAAAGGCGTATTGCGCATCTGCTACAGATAAAACAGAACTCCGACGTCTAAAAGAGGGAAGAGATAAAATTATATACCAAAGCCAAAGATTGTTTCTCCTTTAAAGATGTTTCTTTTTTTCTTTTCTTTCTACTACCAAATACAGGACGAAATCAGATCTGTTTCAAGTGAAAATTTCGGACATTTTATTTTTGTGGTGCGTACCAATTGTATACCACTGCCAAACACCAGGCTGCAAAGTTTGTCAAGGTCTTTACTCTTACAATGATATATCTTGATGCTACTGAATGGAGAGATGAGGATCTTCAAAAAAAGTTTTCCTGTTTTAGGGTGTCAAGGGAGTAAAGTTTTACTCGTCATAGATCTTTTGTGGTATGTATATATTTATTTACTTGGACTCCTTTCCTAAAGAGAGAGGTCCCCCTTCACATTTCCTAACAATTCTCTTCCCTTTCCTCGAAGTTTGGAGGCTTTTTCTTCTGCAAAAACATACAAACGTTACAATACTTCGATTGCCTCTGATTGGCAAAAAGTCATAATAATAAGAAAAGAACAAAAAAAGAAATTCGGAGTCTATGGTAACTTAACACCGTAAAATCAGAATTGAACCCTGTTGAACACTACCAATTAAATAAAACAAAAGCAAACTCTCCTTTACAAATGCTTTGTTTTAACGAAACGGTACATCAAAGGACAAGGGAATATCTGGAAAGCCTTGCTGCCTTGCTAGTCTTTTACATTTGTTATAGGTCCAAACTAAATCAATAGCGTCATATACTAATAATAATAATCAAATAAAATATATGTGACTGTTTGAAGTATTTTTAATTTTAACAATGAGGAATTTTATTTTTACTTTTTTATATTTTTCCTACAGGGCGTCAACGCACATTTTCGTGACATAGTTAAACTAATTAACCAACTAATGTTGCGCAGATGTAGCGACAAGGAAATATTTAGGTCCATGAGTTTTTTGTCCTTTCCTCAGGACTATCTACTTTTGTTATCATCTTTACCTTTTTGAAAAAGAGGAAGAGAGGAAGAGAGGGGGAGAAGGAGAGGAGGAGAAAGAGAGGGAGAGAAGGAAAGGGAGGGCTAATTTTTTCCTGGCTTTTTTTTTTCTTCGCCTTTGATTTAGTCTTGTTTTGGGCTTTTTTGTGTATTAGATGATTATGTTTATGTTTACGTTTTGTGTGAAGGAGTGAAGGAGTGAAGGTTTTATTGTTTTTTGGTTTTCACATGGAGTTAGTGAGTTAGTAGTTATCTTTATATATGTTTAGTGTAAATTTCACCTGTGAATGTATGCACCAAAGTGAGAGCATCTGTGACCCATTTCGGTTGAAAACTTTCTGAAAAAGATTTTCTCTATTGTTTTATTGTTTTTTTTTGCGACACAGAATTATAAATAAAGGGTTAAAGGCGGATGAGCATTCCATACAAACATATATACAACATATATATACGAAACCCATATGGTCGGTTTTAAAACAGTAGTTGATTAAAGGATCATCATTTTAACTTGGCTTTCTCTAATATTGTTTACCTTTCGTATGTTGTTTGTAATCGCAGAAGGTGTTGAGAAAACTACAAAAGATTATCTGGTTTAGTAGCTAGTAACGAGTTTGTAGTTTTGTAGTCTTACTTTAGGTTAAATTAGCAGTCACAGTAGAAAATGGATGTTTCGGATCAAACACAGTGGAGTATGTTTTTACTTTATAAGTTGTTGGTAGAGGGTTATGGGTTTCAGTGTAGTAGTAGGCTTTTGCTTTGTTTATTTTGCTGTTGTTATTGCTGTGGGATGGGTTGGTGTTTTTGTGTGACTGTTGACGTTTACCAAAATTAGAATTTTAATTTCTTTTTCTTTTCTATCGCTGTATATTCTGCACATAGATTAAATACAATTACCACAAGTGGAGGATTTTTGTATATTTTATGTTTGTGCTACATGTACTATATGCAGTCTATGACAGCTTATAATTAGTGTCTATATACAGGACTACAATTTTGAGTTTCATTTCTTTTTAAATTTTTCTTTCTCTCTTTAAAATTTCATCAAAACTCTCTACCAAACAAACAAACAAACAAACAAACAAACTACTTCGACAACAGATCTTCTTCCAACCACTTCTATCTTTACCATTTGCTTTACTTTGAATAAGTGGGTTTATCATTACCACATCATTACTACTTAGACCCACCTTCACTCGTTCCTACTACTACTGCACCCAAAAGAGTAACTTGGTTTTTATTTTTTTTTATTTCCATCCTTTTACAGTTTATAATTTTCATGATACCACCTACATACCCCTTACATTCACTTGCTTGAACCACTTTATCACATCGACCCACAGGAATTCTAATATTATATTTACAACAATGTTACTTAGACATAAACTACTTGTACTTCTATCCTTTTATGGTTCAACCACAATGGCTGATAATTGGTCAAGTTTAGGATGTTATAAGAAATCATCATTATCAAACTTACAATCCAAAGGTTACTACATCTACCAATCATCAGGTAATTGTGAAGGAGAATGCTCAGGTAAAAGGATTGCCGCATTGATTAGTGGTAACCAGTGTTATTGTGGCGATTCTGATCCCTCACTGAGTTCAGACGACGATTCAAACTGTGACACTTCTTGTCAAGGTTATGACAAAGAGAAATGTGGTGGAGACGGATACTATACCGTTTACGTTAATTCAGATGTTGATAGTGAAGATGTGCAACTGAGTAGTAGTAGCTCAAGTCTGTCACTGACTAGCACATCCAGCACATCAACCTCATCCACATCATCCACGTCATCTACATCATCATCATCATCATCGTCATCATCATCAGCACCACAGACAAGCACCATAAAGCAAACAACTACAGCACAACCATCGAGTACATCTGATGACGACAGTTCCTCAACAACTGCCACTTCTTCACAAGAAACAACAGTAGAAGTATCGTCGTCAATACAACCGACAACTATAGTATCTACTGTGATCAATTCAGCCAACACTAAGCTGCAGTCAGTTATATACCGCACAGTCGTTGAATCACCATCGTCAACACTGCCATCAGCTACAACAACTTCTACCTCATCTTCAAACACTTCGTCACAAGCACTTGACGCCTCACAAACAGACTCATCAGCATCTTCATCATCGTCAGGAGCATCAAATTCGAATAAGAATAAAGGAACTTCAGGAGGTGTTATTGCTGGTGCGGTTGTTGGATCAGTAGCAGGTGTAGCTGTCATTGCCGGATTACTTTTCGCATTTTGCTGGTTTAGACGTAGGAGACAAGATGACGAAGATGTCGACGATCAGTTTACTTTGTCTGGCCCCAAAGCAGAAATGTCAGAAGTTGACGCACCATCACCACCACCGACTCTGGATCCTAATCCTTTCTTATTAGCTAGTGGATACAACTTCTTTGATACATCACAACAACAACAACAACAACAACAACAGCAACAGCAACAACAACAAGCATTCCCCGCCGGTGGAGCAGGAAGATCACCATCTATTCAACAAACCCCAAGACAAAATACCAACAACCAATTCCACGGATCGTCTCACGGTGGAAGTGGAACTAGCGCGACAGGAGTATTTGGCCACAAGCAACAGTCAAGTTCAAGTGGAACCAGTGGTGGGGGAGGTGACCACTCACTAGGGTCACAACAAGATGATTATGCCTTTTACGATTACAACAGCGGAGGAGAAGGAGGAGGAGGAGGAGGAGGAGGAGGAGCTCTATATCACAACAACAGTCTATCCCAATCCAACGCACCACAACAACAGTCAAGTCATCAATTCCAATTCCTCAATGCAAACTCACCAGAACCGGAATTCGGTAGGAGAAAGTTGAGTAATGGGTCGTTACCCGATATGATAGCTAGAGAACCAGGTTCATTGAAGGTGGTTAACAATTGAGGAAGCTTTGAATCGCTTATAGACGAATATTAACTTTGCATTCTTTTAATCAAGGAAGAAGAAAAGGAAGGGGGCCTAGGTCGTAGTTTGTTGCCCTTTTTTGCCACCACATTTTGCTTCATCATACCACATCCGGTATTTCCTTAACTGATGGACGTCGTTATCGTTATTACAATGGAATACTGGTCATTATACCCCGAAAGTATAACAAAAATGGTCGGTTTTACTACTGTTTTTCATTTTTGGATTTTTACGAAAATTTTTGTTACATTTTTTACATTTTTTTATATTTCATTTGCACATTCAATTACATTATTTTTCAGTTGATGTGTTTTTCACGGTTTATAGTATCACGGTTTATGGTCACTTTATCTATATATATGTACGGCTTTTTTGGTTTATATGTTAGATAAATAATATATTAGATTTGAACACATCAAATTTTTGATTTATGACCCGTAGATATGACTTGACAAGTTTTTAAGTCGGAAATGGGTCTAAAGTTTAATGCGTACCCCAGTTAACCGATATCTGTCATTGGGTCTAGTGATGAACAATGACTTTGAAAGCTGGGATAAAGGTGCATGGACCGGAGATAAAAGTCTAGACTGTGCAACGAAGGAATACAGCCTATATAAGAACCACACGTGACTCTCCTGTTTATTTTAAAAGTGGGCAACGTGTCTGTGTTGAGATCAAAAGCACAGTGTGCATGATCTAAGCAACGGACGATGAATCATCGTGTGGGTTCTAGAACTTCCAGTTTGCGCCTCAGCCACCAATTTTTTTGACTATACATTGAGTTGCATTGATCTAAGATTTCTTTGTCACCGCGTTTTATTGTTTTATTGTTCTAGTTGTTGTTGTTATTTATGTTTACTTTTGCAACTCTTCTTTTTTTACCCTTTGATTTTGTGTGTTGATCAATTACACAAAACAGCAGCGACCGATACAGGACAGCAAAACGACTGCATTTACTCAATACGTCGCACAAATAGACTGTTGAATCTTTTTGGGTTTCGGGAAAGGAGGGTTATGAGCGTATACGCTTACGCAACACGACTAAGACGAAGACGACAGTTAACGCAACATGTGGAACTCATTTTGCGGGGTTTGTTTTTTTAAATCTGTCTAGAAACGCAGCGAGGGTACTTTATCCGAGCCTTGTTGACTGTATATTGCTATCAAGCCAACTACAGGCGTCACTAGTTAGCCGCTGACTGCAAATGACCCCTTTCGTATTACTTGGCTTATTCTCTCGGTAAAGAGATATCTTTCTAGTTGTAACCTCTTGCTTTCCGTTGATTGTTGTTCTAGCCTTCTCAAAGTGCCCTAATTTTCTTTCAATCATTCTTGATAATTGTTCAGCCCTATCTCAATTCCAAAGCGACTTTATATATTGTCCAATTCGCTTCTAACCGCATTCAATAACTATAACATGTAAGTCGGAGTCGCAACAGTAATACAAGGCGATTGTGAAACGTAATTGAGAGTGGGTTGTGCTGCACAAAACTGACCCAGCATAGAAACAGTTTTGCTACGAATGCTGGCTGCAGAGCAGCGAGTTGAGATTGTAGGGGACACCCATCATTGACACACCCCAAATAGGAAATTTTCACACCTTGCCTTTGCTAATTGCAATGAAAAACGAAAAAGCATAAAAGGGGACGAGTTTGTTGCATAGTTACCACTTGTCTTCACCCTAATGATCCTAATGGCTTCCTACGTGATTGAACCAGGAAGTAAAGCGGATAGCTTGGAATATCTAGAAGGCTCGGGCACCGACAAAGATCCTGTTCGGTGTGGATGTGAGTTGTGTGAGTTTTGGAGACGTGGAAGAAAATCTCTTTTTAGGATACTCGTCATTGGGATGTTCTTTCCAGCCATTTTGTTCTTTCGAATACTTAAATTGCTTTGCTGCTTGTATTCAGACCCAGTGTTGTGCCCTTTCAGATAGGCATCTCCGTATTACACCGGGAGTAGTCACATTGACTACCACGAGAGGGCAAGAAACGAACGGTGGTCTTGGTCGGGCTACTACTTGACAGCAGTTGTTATTGTGCTTCTTATGGCGGCAATATTGGTGTCTGCTGTCCAGTCACGGCCAATGGACGGTGTCTTTATTTTTGAGTAGTGTTTTGTTTTTGACTGGGTGCAAAAAGAGAAGTCAAAAGTTGAAACCATTTGACTCCGTTCCCTCTTTTTCTGTTCTATATTTTTCAAAGTCAATAGCTTTCACCTCCACAAAATATATTTCAAATAAAACACATCTCTTCCAGTTCTTCTCTCAACAGCAAAAACCTCACAATGCTAACCAGATCGCTTCAGTATACCCAAAAAAGGCTCGCATCCACCAGCACGCTTTTGAAGACGCCATTGTATGAAGCCCATGTCAAATTGGGCGGAAAGATGGTTCCTTACGCGGGGTTCGAAATGCCAGTGTTGTACGAATCTCAATCACACATCGACTCGCATAACTGGGTTAGATCCAAAGTTGGCCTATTCGACGTCAGTCACATGTTGCAGCACAATATAAGTGGACCAGATGCACAATCGTTTTTGGAGAAAGTCACACCCATTGATTTGAACTTGATCCCGGAAAACAGCTCCAGCTTGTCAGTTCTATTGAACAAAGACGGTGGCGTGATTGACGATTGTATCATCACCAAGCACGGAAAGGACAAGTTCTACATGGTGAGCAACGCCGGCTGCAGGGACAAGGATGTCAAGTTCCTCAAAGATGAGTTAAAGGCATTCAATTCGGTAAAGCACGATACATTTGAAGGAACTTTACTAGCTATTCAGGGCCCCAAGGCGCAAGAGCTTTTGCAAAAATTCACCAATGAAGACTTGAGCAAGATCTATTTTGGCCAAACAAAGTTTATCAAATTGTCGCCTATCTCCGCAACTGTGCACCTAGCAAGAGCGGGCTATACCGGAGAAGACGGCTTTGAGTTGTCGATTCCCTCAGCAACTCCAGCAGAGGCAGCAGAAGCTTTGGAATTTTTCAATACATTGGTCAACGAGTATCCCGATGTTGCCAAACCAATTGGACTAGCAGCAAGAGACTCGTTGAGGTTGGAAGCAGGTATGTGCTTGTATGGACACGAGTTGACAGAGGAGATAACCCCAGTCGAAGCCTCCTTGACGTGGTTGATTCCTAAAACACGTCGTGAATTGAATGACGCAAGTTTCAACGGGGCAGCCAAAATCTTGAGCCAAATCAAGGACAAATCAACCACGCACAGAAGAATAGGCTTGACCTCGAAAGGGCCATCGCCACGAGAGGGGAATAAAATCTTCAGCGAAGATGGCAAAACCGAAATCGGATACATCACATCAGGTTCGCCTTCTCCCACCAATGGCGGCAATGTTGCTCAAGCTTATATCGACAAGAAAGCGAAGATCGGTGCCCCCGTCAAGATAGAAATAAGAGGAAAGTTGAGAGATGGAATTGTAACGAAGTTGCCATTCGTTCCAAGTAGATTGTATAAACAGTAATAGCACACTTGCATCTGTTGTATTTGCTTCCCCATTTCTGACGCGTCTAAAATTCTCCTTTTGGAATATATCTGGCAAAAAGGTAAACAACAATAATTCACACCCCCCCTTTTGTGCAAAATTGGGAAAAAAAGTATATCCAGCTTTTCACATTGGCTCTCTGCTTCATAGTTTGCTAGGCTTATCCGACTCCATCTTCACTTGCAATGTCATCAACACCATCTCCTACAAAGAGGTCCGTTCTCTCCCCCAAAATATTCAACGCTAACCAGCTATCTCCCCAAAGAAAGAACTTTGCAGCTGGACCAAAGTATGCCAACAAGTCGCCAATGAGATCTGGTTCACAGGTCCGCACTCCTTCTCCAAAGAAGCCCAAGCCAGCTGCCTCATTGGGATTCACTATATGGGAGGACAACGTCGATAACACTTCCCACGATGTCGTAGGGACTCCTACCTCCAACAAGGCAAACCATAATGACCAGGAGAACATTCTTCAACCCAAACAGACATGCCACAGGAGTGGCCATCGCACACCTTTGCAAGACTTGAGCATCAACTCGTTCAAGGGATACATCAGCAGTGGGGGAGTAACCACGCAACTAGATGACCCCTACCAGCCTTTGCACTTTGACAATGGATTCAGGTCTGCTCATAGGTTTAATAACTTGCCGCCTTTTGTGACGCCAGTGAAGAAGGACAGATACTTGGCCAAGTCGGGACGAGTTGACGAGTGGAAAGTTGAAGCAAGTAGTGTCAGAAAACATGGCAGGTCGCTTTCTGTCGGAATGAATGAAGCCAAGCGGGACTTGGTTCAAAAGCCCAAGTTCGCTATACTGGCCAGCTGAGAGTTATGCCACTTGTGTATAAATTTGTAATAGATACCCCCTTTTATGTTTTAGAATTGTAGAGCATGCCCCGTCCAACAGTTTCAACAGTTTCATCTGACCGCAATCCCTCCCCCATACAACATTTCTAATATTGCGCTTGCTCTGAGGGGGCTAAGTACATTACAGTTCCCCGTTAGAAAAAATTCCTCTCTATTACTCTATTGTCTATGTACTCTATCACCTACGCTTTGAAAGCTTTGTCAAATTCAGTAAAGACGAATCTATACCTCACATCACCAGCCTGGCATCTGTCCAATGCCTTGGCACAGTTTTCTTCACTGATTGGAACCTCCTCGATCATTGGTTTGACATTGTGTTCGGCAGCTAATTTCAACATCTCCTTGACCTCCACCTTGGATCCCAACAAGGATGAGCCAAAACTGGCACCTTGTTTCAAGAAGGTGAATGGACTGACCTCAAACTTGTCCTCAGTTGGTGGCAAACCAACAGAGACAAACTTTTTGTCAACCTTCAAGGTGGACAAATAATCAGACAAGTTCAAGCCATCTATACCACTAGCACAGTTCAAGATCAAGTCAAAATGGTCGTCATAGTTCTTGTACCACGTTTTATCTTCATTGGTAGCGACAAAGTCATGAGCGCCCAACTTCAAAGCTTGTTCCTTCTTTGAAGAAGATCTGGAGAACGCAGTGACATTGGCACCCATGGCGTTAGCAAACTGCAAAGCCAAGTGGCCCAACCCTCCAATACCAATAATACCGACATTTTTTCCTTTAGCGTCCAATCCCAAATTTCTGATCAATGGGGAGAAAACGGTGATACCGGCACACATAAGTGGAGCGGCATAGGCCGATGGCAAATCGTCTGGAATTGCAAAGACAAACTTTTCATCGGCGACGGAGTGTGACGAGTAACCACCTTGGGTAATGTAATCGTTTGATCTTACATCTTTTGAGTTGTAGGTTGCAGCGAATTGCTTACAGTATTGCTCATTGTCGGAGTTACATCTGTTGCAAGTACGACATGAGGAAGATCCTGCACCAATTCCAACACGGTCTCCAACTTTGAATTCGGTTACTTCATCACCAACTGCAATGACTTCACCAACGATTTCGTGACCAACGACTAAGTTGTCTCTTTGCAATGGAGACCAGTTGGCTCCCAATGTGTGAATATCTGAGTAGCACAAACCACATACTTCATTCTTCAATACCACATCGTGTGGGTTAATCTGTTTTCTCTCATATGATACCAACTTTGGCTTGTTCCAATTTTTTGGATCAGAGACTGCAAATCCTTTAAATGTGTCTGGTACAGCTTTTGTCATCTTTTCTGAACTAATACTATGTGATGTAAAAAACAATTGCTAGAGAATCAAAACGGGGAAACGAAAGACATTTATAGTTTGGCGGAAATTTCACGCAAAGAGTGGCAATGAAACGATATGTCATCATTGACATCTAATTACACAAAAAACTAGGATTTTTCCGAAAAAGAAACGGTAAGGGCTCAATACGTAAACTAACCAAATAGGGTCCACTACTTTATAATCTAACATAAGTATTCTTCCAGCCCAAAAACTTCCTGTGGCTTAAACCGATTGCCTGTAAGCACGGTAGATCATATCTTTGCTAGTTCTTTTCGGGGATTGGTAGTTTTAGTGTGGCATCCAGTTAAGTAAAGTAGCAGTACCAATTTTGATTAATAATTAAGATATTGCACGTGCCCAGGAACACTAAAATGCCGTATTAGGAAGCGCCGAAAAGTAATGGCCGAAGTATTTTGATCTGTTTGCACGCAAGGAAACACACACAGAACTCACCTCCAATATGACTTCTTCTCGTGCTTTATCTATTGACCGACTAAAGCGTAAACATCACCTGCCACTGTTGTATGCTGCGATTGAAAAAGAGATTTATTTATGACTGCAAATGAATGTTCGATTCAATCGTGCTCTCTTGCTGAATATGTCGGACTCTTAGAACAACAGAGAAGCATCACATTAAGATGTGGTCTAGTAAGCAATGATAAGCAGCTTATGCTCTCCAAGTCTTCACATTATATTGATATCATGTGTCATTTTGTTTAGCTATGAAGTAGTACAAATCCTTGAAGCAATAAAAATTTATGGCGAAAATTATCAAGTAAAGTAGGGCACCTCAATGTTGGTCCACAAGTTTCATGGAGTGCAAATTAGTAACTACATACCTAGCCATCAGCCAGTTTATTCTGGTTTTCTTCTTGCTGTAGACTCATGCCCTTTCAAAAGCCAACTGCAACAAACAATAGCAGATGGTAGCTGCAAAAGCAATCATTTTTCGTCACAAATGATCACCTGACCAAAAAGAGGCTAAGACCTAAAAACATTGATTACACAAAAGTCATAAAATAGCGAAGGAGAGGAGCATAGTGTGTGTCTCGGTTTGGGCTTCGCACAAAAATTTTCCAATCCTTTAACCAAATTTGGTAGTTTAGATAGAGTGTTTTAGCCTATACAACAACCTATATATAATCAAGAATGTCAGGATCAGGAGCTTCAGGAAACAAATTCCGTATGTCAGTATGTGGAACTTTTCAACTAGACCTTTCTCAACGAGATTTTTGTCTTTAGATTTGATGTGGAACAATTTGTGATGTGAAAAATATTCATGTTATATGAATGTATTGAAGAAAAGGATATCGAAAATAGGAGAGAAACATAGTTCAAATGTCAAAGTATTGTTGTGTGAGCTTTTGAAAGAAGTTTAAAAGAGGGATAATTTACAGTTAATATGGAGATGATCAACACCATTATACTTAGATTTAGACCTACAGTGGCTCCTACTTTGCTATGTCTATTCCCGTCAAGAAACTTCTAATATCACACACATATGAATGTCATATCTGAAGCTACAAAACAACAAGCATGATGTACTAACATTTTTTATAGTTGGCTTTGCCAGTTGGTGCCGTTATGAACTGTGCCGATAACTCAGGTGCCAGAAACCTTTACATTTTGGCCGTCAAAGGTACTGGTGCTAGATTGAACAGATTGCCAGCTGCTTCTGCTGGTGATATGGTTATGGCTACCGTTAAAAAGGGTAAGCCAGAATTGAGAAAGAAGGTTATGCCAGCTATTGTTGTTAGACAATCTAAGCCATGGAGAAGAAGAGATGGTGTTTATTTGTACTTTGAAGATAACGCCGGTGTTATTGTTAACCCAAAGGGTGAAATGAAGGGTTCTGCTATTACTGGTCCAGTTGCTAAAGAGTGTGCTGATTTATGGCCACGTATCGCCTCTAACTCTGGTGTTGTTGTCTAAGAGTAAAATTAGTTTAAACTGTATATTTGTAATAATGCATTTTTTGCTAAATAATATTTTAACTGAAATTGTAGAGCTCTATATCTCCTTCACTTATCATCTGATACGATGATGTTGATATCGCCATTAGCATTTGGTGCTGGAGGTTGACTTTGTTCAATTGGGCCACTCTTCAATGTCGACACTTCATCAGCAGAGAAATGTCTTTGCATATTTGGATGGAGAGACGCTTCGCCATTCTGAGTTGGTCCGTTAGTCGCAGTAGCACCCTTTGTATGATCATCTTGCTGGTTCAAGTCACCGTTCAAATACATTGGATGTATGTTTTTCTGACTGGGTTGACCTTGTTGTGACTGAGCTTGCGACTGAGGCTGGCTTTGGTGTGAATGAGCTTGCGACGGTGGTTGACTTTGTTGTGATTGAACCTGTTGTGACTGAGCTTGTGATGGAGCCTGCTGTTGAACTCCAGCGCCAGCAAATTGCGAAAAATATGCTGAACCAAACGGCTGTGCAGCTGGAGAAGTGCTTAATATCAGTACCGGTGCACCGCGTGGTGACGTGGGGAAGAACTGCGGCTGTGGCGCACCTTGTTGTCCATTTTGAGATTGCTGCTGACTTATTGGTGCGCTTGGAGTGATTGTATAGTATTGTTGTTGGACTGGGTCATAAAACTGTTGCGGTTGACCTCCACTTTGTATATAATATGGTACACTGCTTGATGGTGTTCCAATATTAGCAAACTGTTGTCCTTGTTGAGAATGACCACCGCTGGTGATCGATTCTACAGGAATCAACTGATATGGCTGCTGATGCATTTGTTGCTGGTAATTAGTCTGTGGTAGAGGTACATAATTTTGTTGTTGTTGTTGCATGGCTGGATCACGATTGGCCAGTTCATAACCTGAGTGGCTAATGAAACTGGGGTTTCGCTTGACATTGTCATCAGTCTCCACTGGAGTTATAATTGTTCCATCGCTGTTTATCATATTACTTAATCTAGGTGATTGGTTGTTCCTCAGGGAGAAAGTGGACGATAATCTGTTAGCATTAGCTATTGACGTGGTTTGCGATAATGGTCGGTGCGAGTTTCGGCTATTTGTTTTCTGCAAGTTCGAGGTATTAGTGTTGACAGTTCTCAAGGATCTAGTTGGTGAACGGATCGATGATGCTCTTGATCCAGCCTTGGCTGCGCTAACAACACCCTTCGGTCTATTGGGTAAAGTTCTAGCTCTGGAAATAGGGGTGGGCAAACTAGTCAACTTCTTGATGTCACTGAACCAATCAATCATGTCTTGGTAAGTGTTGGTTCGAAACACCCATTTGTGTGTCTTGTGCATCAACGCACTGGCCAGCTTCGAAGTCAAAATGAACTTGTATACACCATTTGCTTTGCCGTCATCTTTTGAATGGTCGCTGACAGTACAGGAATCCAAAGGCAACGACATTACGGGATGAGGGTCCTTTTTCCGATCGTTTGACTTAAACTCATGGATGAAGGAACAAGTAAGGACATACCATGCACTCGAGTAATTCTTTAGAAACTTTGACCTACGCTCCAAATAACCTTCACGCACAGCAACATTCAAGTTTGACTCAGCATTACGAATAATAAGGTCCAGAAGATGTCGTTTTGGGATGTCCAAGTCGATGAACGTACCATTCTTCACTGAAGACGTTGTCTGATTACCCACAGCACTAACACTAAGGTTATTAGAAGGCAAGTTTCTTTCAATAAATGCATTCCATTCGAAATTAGTTTCCTTTGACAAGAAGCCATTGATGATGTTTGGCTCCAAGTAGTTGGTAAATGTCAAGTTTTCCTCTCGGATCAATTTGAGAAACAGCGATAAATAATTTTGAATCTCCGCTACTACAATACTTTCCAACTGTTTTCCTGCATTTTGTAAATTGGAGTATGCATCATAAAGGTAGTTTTCTTCCACCAATTGCCTTTTCAATTGACGATCTAATTTCGTCTTGACCAAAAACGGATCATACTTTCCTTGTTCGGCATCTGCTTGATGCAAATTATGACTAGTATCCAACTTGTTAGCCCACTCGACAGCCTGGTTGTATTGGCTGATCAACGACTTGGTTTCATTGAGCTCCTTATTCAAATTGTTTTTGAAATCATTCTGCAAATTCTTTATCTCTTTGATCTTCACGAGCAAGTCCTTTCTCAACTCTTCCAACTTGGGAATTATTATCGCATTTATTTCCTTTAGGGTCTTTGATGAGTTGGTTACATTTTGCTGATGGTAATGGAACAATATATCGGGGACATCCTGCACTGAACCATTCCCTATTGGCAAAAAGGACTTTGTGATTGCCTCTATATCCTGGTTGCCTATATTCGACGAGTGGTTAGTAGCAGATGGAGAAGCTATTGATTTTACTGTTGCGCCAACAGCTTGTTGAAGCCTTGCTTGTTGGCGGACAATCTCCTCTTGGACACTAGAATACTCTCTAAAATAATTGAGCAACTCCTTGATGAAAGATCTCCAGGCAACAAACCTATTAGCCATGACCTCTGTTGGATAGTCATTATTGCTCATAAAGTTGTAAGGTAGTGCTACTGTGAGCGGATTGTGCATGTCATACGGCATTGCTATATGTGAAGTTTTCTTTGTTGCTGGTGCTGGTTGTTTAAAGGATACACCCGAGTAGTGTTTAAATTAAAGAAAGTACAAATTTATGTTGATAGAAGTAATACTATTTCTACCTCGTTGGATTGCTTAATGACTGTTTTGTATTTGACTGTTGATGTATGACTGCGGTTCAAGAAGTTTTGGGTTGTTGGTAATTTTTTCTTTGAGCCTAGAATTTTTTTTAATGTTGTATTTATTTTTTTCTTCTTCTTTTACTTTTGCCTTGAAGAAAAGGTCTCAAACAATGAGAAAACTCGCTTAGCGGGGTTACTTACAACTTGTCACCCTACTATTTAAGGTTACTAACAATATACCATGTCTTCTAGCTTGCATATTTCTATGACCTCTTTACACGACGCCCTAATTCGTTTTGAAGACATATATATATATAGACAGAGAGGAATGTTTGATTGTGGAGTATCCTTATTGTCGTAAAACATGTGACATAGTTGAATTAAATCCGCATGAAGAGAAAAAATAAACATTCTATTAAGAACACAGGTTATTATTATTATTATGCGGGCTGCACATATGTTGTCCAAAGCCTTGCAGCAATATAGAATTAACACAAACCCGATACTTTATTCTGGACTACAAATAAAGCATGGGCTAAAGATCCGGCGGAGGTATGCCAAATTTTCGGCAATAAACCTCTGTCTGATTATTTGGAAAATACTTCAAGTCTCCCTCGTGATCAGCTGGTGCAACAACCTCAAAGTTTCTCGGTATTTTAAACAGGCCATCATCCAATTGGTCTAACTTCTCTAGCTCTTTGGCAACAAGTGGGATAAACTTTTCAAATTTCTTTTGGTTTCTTAGCACCTCCCTAGGATCTATTAGCTCAAATTCAGCTTTATGGTCAGTTGCATACCTTTCAACCACTCGATTTATCGCTATGGCTTGTTTGTCATAGTACAATTCTTCACTGTCTACAGAAGGATGTGAACGGTTTTCCAGAATCGGAACATCAATGACTTTAAAGTAGGATCGACGAGGTCCATACTTATCCAATGCAAGAAAATGTGTATCATGCTCCACGTGTGCATTTGGCTTCACCTTTTTATGTTCTTGACTATCATCATCACTTGCTTCATCCAGGCTATCCATATCCAACGATATCTCATTAACGTTCTTGACCGGTTTCGGCTCAGGCTTATTGTGGTTGACATTAGCCTCAAACTTGACATGTAGGTGCCCGCTAAACCAGTATTGTGGCTTTAAGTGGTGCAACAATACTTTATTCAACGGGCTACCCAATTGTCCTTTCTTGACGTCTTGAGCGAAATACGGTTTTTGTTTGAGTAATTTCTCCTTGTCTCCATATTGTTCAATACCAACTGGCCAATCGTGACTAAGAACTACATTTATATCTTTCATCAAATACATTTTCAAAAAATTGGGCAATTTCTGATGATAGACACTCCGTATGGAACTAGAATCAAAAGGCAACTTTTCCACATTAAATGGCCGATTCATATACGTGTGTGGGTTGTATATACCACTCCAACCGCAAATTGAAAGTCCTTTGTAATGTACACCTCCAAATTCACCGAGATAATATATATTAGGTGCCACCCACCCCCCGTATTTCAATTCTTGCAAATACGACGACGACTCGTGGTTACCACCAACAAATATAGTAAGTACTGGTGCTTTTTTCTTGCCTGTATAATAAGACTGGAAGTCGCCTAAGCGACGATATTTTTCAGGCACATTTAATGCTTGGTAATCAGATGTGCTGCGTAAAGCTTGAAAGTCACCACATATTAGTAGAAGTTCAGTAGACGAGGGGATTCCATTGTATATTTTCTGCAAATCACCGTGGCAACATCCTTCGATAGCCACCCTTAATGTCTTCATCGAGCTTTCAATAGAGTTTTATTTCATTTTTTTTTTCTTTTTTTTCGTGTCTTCTTAACTTACGTCTATATATTTTATATGTGGAGAGACCATTTAAAATTTAAAAACGTGTTCCTTGGTGTAGCCCAAGTCAGCTAAAGCTCCAGTGACTTCACCTTGATCCGATGGCGACTTCTTGTTACCTGAGATAGCATCGTACAAACCTGGAGGTCCACAAACGAAAATCTTTGTGTCTGGACTTGGTTTGTCCAAGTGCTTTTGTAAAAAGTCCTTAGTAATGAAACCAACTTCACCATCAAAATCTTGACCCTTCTTGTCATTGACAAAGTAAGTTACATTAACTTGATCCTTGTTGTTCTTGGTAATTTCATCGAGTCTATCTTTGATCAAAATGTCATCAGGAGAAAGATTACCGTAAAACAATTGAACCTTAGTCTTGTCTTCTGGGTTTGAGGTGATGGCATGCAACAATTGGTATAATGGGGTGATACCAGAACCACCACCAATCAAAGCAATTGATTTAAATTGGTTTGGTTCCCACTTCCATTTTACGAAAGGACCCTTGAATGAAAGAGTGTCACCTTCTTTCAAGTCGTGAATGTGGCTCGACATTTTTCCCTCGTCATACTTTTTAACGACAAATTCAATATCACCTTTCTGGTCGACATCTGAAACTGGGGTGTATGGTCTAATGACATTGTTACCCTTTGGAGTGACAAACTTAGTCATCAACATGGAAGCAACAACCAAGCCTGAAACATCATCCTTATCTTTCAAGTCAAAGATCAAGTGCTTGGTGTTGTGATTCAATTGCTCGGCCTTTTTCAAGGTCAAGTCAATCCATTCATCACCACCGGTGAAAGTTTTACCAGTTTCATTTCTAATGAAGGATTGAGTGGAGTAGTGGTAGGCGAGGCCAAGTGAGGCGGTGGCGCCAATGAAAGGCACAACGTATCTTGGAGAAAGAAATCTTGTCATAGCGGTAGACATGATGATGGAATATGCAATTGAGTCTATTGAAAATCAAAGAATAGCTTTTTTTGCTGATTATTTCACTGTCTATTCAATTGGTCGAAAGTTTGGCAGATTTAAATAGTTTGGAGAGAGTGTGAGAGCAAAAGAAAAAAAAAGAAAAGAAAAGACCAATGTGTGTTCCGGGGTGTGTGTGTGTGTGTAGTTACTAAAATTAATAAGCCAATTGTATTAATTTTAAATTTAATGTCTTTTTTTTTTGGAGAAATAAGGTTATAGCCGATAAAAAAAAGTGTACCTACCGACTAAGATCGGATCGAGTAACAGTAGGCCATAGCAGCACAAACTGACGGTGTCCCCCCTTCTTTCAATTACATATGTATGGTTAACTATTTGTTGTATTAAGTTGCCACAGTTGCTCAATACTAGAATTGGTAGCAATTTGTTTTGTTTGTTTGCATATATTTTATGTTTGCTTTCAAAAAACAAACAGAACAAAAGAAACAAAGGGAGCGGGTGTTGCGACATTGCTTAGAGAGACATTTGATTTTTAAGTTACACACGACATTCTAACTATCAGAGTTTGCTCTGACCACTTTTGTCTTGTTATATATATATGCGATAGGATCCCTCCAGACTACTCAATTCAATTGTATCCTTTTTCCCAAGCCCAAACCACTTTATAATGCTGCTTCGTAGTAAATCACAGAAGGAATTGATAAGTCTATCACGTCAACTTATTCAACCATTACTCCCCAATTTCCACAAAGGTCAAGCAGGAAGAATTTGTATCATTGGTGGAAACGAGGACTACACCGGAGCTCCCTTTTTCTCAAGCCACTCAGCTGCATTAGTTGGTGCCGATTTATCCCACGTTGTCTGCGAGAAGCAAGCAGCGCCGATAATAAAAACATATTCGCCTGATCTAATGGTTCATCCATACTTGCTAGATTTGGAGAACCCAGCATTGAAATTGAAGGATGCAGAGTTGGATGATTTGAAGAAATTGTCAATTGAGGAAGTGTTGAACCAAACCAATGTTCTCACGAAGATTATTGATGATGTCATTTTGCCAAAGATTCAACCGTTGTTAACTAGAATGGATATAATTGTGGTGGGCCCCGGCTTTGGTCGTGACCCACTAATGTTGAAATCGTTGGTGAGAATAATTGAAGAAATTAAGGTTTTAAACAAACCAATTGTGCTAGATGCCGACTCGTTATACCTTTTGTCAATTGAACCAAAGTTAATCACAAATTACTCAAAGGCTATCATTACACCCAACATTGTTGAGTTTCAACGAATTGCTAAAAAATTAGACATTGAGATAGACATTTCAAAAGACTACTCAGAAGCAGTGTTGATTGAACAAACTCAGAAACTCTCATCAAAGTTGGGAAATGTATTGGTATATCGAAAAGGTGAAGTTGATATCATTGCCAATTCAAAAAATGTTGTCCTTAACAAGTCAGCCGGATCTAGCAAGCGTGTTGGGGGTCAGGGTGACACACTAACCGGTGCCATTGCAACATTAGTCAACTGGTCAAACCATTACTTGGACAGTTATTGGGACAATAAAGTTGACTTGGATACGGCTGATGCTCACATCCTTGCATGCTATTCTGCTGGTTCTTTAGTTAGAGTAGCAGGACAAAAGGCGTTTAAAAAGTATGGAAGGTCAATGCAAACTTCCAACGTCCATGAGTTTTTACATGATGCATTCCTTGAGTTATTCGATGATAGTTTGTTTAGGTTTAGTAGTAATATCTAGTTTTCAAATCAGGCGAGTCACGTGAATGTATATCTCTCTCGGTTAATTGTAATTTCCGCGGTATAGCGCTTGTGATGAAAAAAAGTGGGGGAGGGAGAAAAAGCCAAAGAGGCAAAAAAAAAATCAAAAATCAGATTGTTTTTCCTGGAGATTAGATCTAAGCAGACCCTGTTTTCATTACAATAGACGTTTAATATCAAAATGGATGCAGCTAGTTGTGGGCCCTCAAGTGCCATACAAAACTTGAATAAACATACTCAAAGGGATACTTCCTTGCAACATCAGAGACTAAGTAACCAACCACAACAACAAGGCGTTCATCAATTTCGTCAAGGTCAAGCTGTAGATCAACAGTTGAATCAGGAGTTTCACAGATTCAATAGTGGCGGTGCGGGCCATGATTTTGCCACTCTGTTTATAGACCAGAATCGACCCCAGTTTCAACATCGTGTTCAAAATGCACCACAACCCCAACAACAGCAACAACAAGGTTGGGTTAACGATTTTTCCGGTTTGAGTATTGAGCAAAGTCAGCAGCCACAGGTACAGAGCAACTGGCTGAAGCAGTTTATACAAGGTGGACCACTTCAGCAGCAACAGCAACAGTATCAACATCCCACTCAACAACAACCAATGATGCGTAGTCAAATTCCAAACTACGCTCTAGGCACCTTTCAGAATAGACTAAGCATGAATGCGGTAAATGCGGCTCCACAATTCAGCCAACAGTCAGAGCATCAGCAAGTACACAAGTTGGAGGCAGAACACCAAGAAATGCTAGAAAACGAATTTGACCGTATTGAAAAAGAGTTGGACGCACAACAAGATTCTCAAACAAGTGAAGCGAATCTAGCAGAATCTGCCGATAAAACTCTACAAGATCATGATAGAGATTTGTTTGCTGAAACAGCACGCTCGGTTGAAAATTCAATGAATAGGTTAAATACAAATGATGCAGCTATGGCGGAGAAATTTAAGGAGTCTAATTTTTTGAATTTGATGCATTCCATTGCCAACAAAGAGACTGTGTTGGGAGATAATGAGTTTAAATCACAAGAAAACGTTTCTACAGACGCCGAAGCAACAGCTGAAAATGTAGCTAGCAATTCACAAAGTTCAGATTATATTCAACCAATGTACCGCCCTGAACAGCAGGTGAACCAGATAAATTCATTAGATATGAACCTGGATGAGTTTTCAAATGAAACGATTCCAAATTATCCTTTCCCACCACAAGCAATATCACAAAAGCAAAAGAGGATGCAACGGCGAGAACAACAGCCACCACAAGAAACACATAACAAGCTTCCTGATCCTCTCGCACACATTGGTGATCAATTAGATGGTATAACCGACCCATTAACCGCTGCGAGAATTATAAGTGGTGGACAAGTGAAAGGTAGAGACTGGGAAGATGATGATGATTGGTTGTCAGAAGACGTTTCTTGGAGAAAAGGTCAAGTTGTCGACCATCAAAGAGATGAAATGTATGGTAAGAGACGTGATGGTAATATGCATGTGCGGTTTACTCAACGATAGATAGATAGTGTGTATTTAATATAATATAGGTTGAAGTTATCTCTTTCAAGTGTAGAGCTTTCTCAATTGAGCCAGTCAAGTGAGAAATCTTTACATGCAGACGAGCATTAAGTAAAATTTTTGGGTAGGGAAACGAGAAAAGTCCGAAAAATGTCACAAAACTTAAGGTTTCACGACACAAACAAAACATCGATCAACCAACAATAACGAGAGATCAAAGTCTTTGGTTTGAGAAGTTAGAATCTTCTTGACACGTCATTATTGTTGTTCTTATTATTATGTTTGAACTGTAATGACGTAAGACCTTTGAATATGTTAATTTCGGAAANGGGGGAAGGGATTACGTAGGAAATGATATCTGAGTGAGCGGAAAAAGATCTATAATGGCTTTGTTGGTTATGGAGTTTGAGGAAGGGAGACCAATTTTTGCAAATAGTACATGAGCTTAATCATTGAGTTGATTCTTTGGTTTTAAGAGCCAGACTTTTTATGATCTGCAACACAATCGAAGTCCAATATGCTATGCCAACTCTTCCAGATTTAATCGGCAAAGATTGAAAACTTTTCTGACGATGCTTTTCCAACTGTGTTTCATTGACAAAAACTTTGAAAAGTGCTGTTTTGCCATCGTTGGGAGATGACGAGATCTATCTTTTTCACTAGAGTACACACCGCTGTTGGTGGCTTGACCAGACCAACGAGCACATGTATGAGTTGATTGTTTCAAAGGTCAACGTAAATTAAAGTCCCCATTACATCATAGGGCACTACTACTTATATTTGTGTAAGTAAAGATTGCATTGTCTCGTTTCTTTTTTTCTCTCTTCTCTCAAAAGAAGCTCCGAAAGAGACAAATTATTCAGTAAAGCATTAGGAAAAGGGCTTAGTCTCAACTTACTAAGTCTTCGAAACTGTCTTGTAGCTAGAATTGCAATATGAGAGTATACTTCACTTTAAGCTTTTCGCCAACAACGAAACAAAAGTCTCACCGGAAAATCTGTGTGACTTTTTGTGTAGCTAAAGCAATCCTGTACATAACTGTTATCCTACATACAAAAAGCAGAAGCAAAGAGAAGAAAAAAGAAATTCACAAAGATTAAGAAGAAAAAAAGAAAAGAGAGTCCGATTTAAGTTCTGCATAGTAACAGTAACAGTACAGTAACAACAGCAGAAGCAAAAGGCATGGAAGATACGTTAAATAGAATAGCGGTATGGCTTGTAGTTACAAAATATCGGTCGGATATAACACATTATGCATTACACCAAAAAAAGCAACAAAGGGAGGAGCTAAAGCAGAGCTCATCACAAAAATTGTTACCAATTAGACGCCGTAATTTATTATTATCCTTACATGTAATGATATCATTACATAATTTGATTTTCATCATATCCCAATTGCACAAACTTTTATATAAATACAATCAACTTTCCTCCAATTTTTACCAATCCAATTCTAGATTTTCAATTCACATAAGTTAAATTCAATTCAATTACACATCCCATTATACTTCAGAGATTAAATATTCAAAAACAATGACTGCATCTTTACCATATACTATCGAAAAACCATTCAAAGTAGCAATCATCGGTTCTGGCAACTGGGGTACTGCTGTTGCCAAGTTGGTTGCTGAAAACACCGCTGAAAAGCCAGAAATTTTCGAAAAGGATGTACAAATGTGGGTCTTCCAAGAAGACATTGATGGTAGAAAATTGACTGATATAATAAATCAAGATCATGAAAATGTCAAGTATTTACCAGGAATCCAATTACCATCCAATTTGATTGCTAACCCAGATATCGTTGATACCGTCAAAGACGCTGATTTATTGGTATTCAACATTCCTCATCAATTCCTTGGTAGAGTCAACAAGCAATTGAAAGGTCACGTCAAACCAAGTGCTAGAGCTATTTCTTGTTTGAAAGGTTTAGAGGTTGACCCAGAAGGTTGCAAATTGCTTTCAACTTCAGTCACCGACGACTTGGGTCTCTATTGTGGTGTCTTGTCTGGTGCTAACATTGCTACTGAAGTGGCTAAAGGAAACTGGTCAGAGACATCAGTCGCTTACACCAGACCTAGCGATTTCAAAGGTGAGGGTAAAGATATTGATGAATACGTATTAAAGGAAGTATTCCACAGACCATACTTTCACGTTAGAGTTATACAAGATGTTGTTGGTGCTTCAATTGCAGGTGCCTTGAAGAATGTTGTTGCTTGTGCAGTTGGTTTTGTCATTGGTGCTGGTTGGGGTGACAATGCCAAGGCAGCAATTATGAGAATTGGTATTAGGGAAATCATTCACTTTGCTTCATACTGGCAAAAATTCGGTATCAAAGGTTTGGCTCCACCAAATCCATCTACATTTACTGAAGAAAGTGCCGGTGTTGCTGACTTGATCACAACTTGTGCTGGAGGTAGAAATGTCAAAGTGGCAAGATATATGATTGAGCACAATGTTGATGCTTGGGAGGCGGAAAAGATTGTATTGAAGGGACAGAGTTCTCAAGGTATTCTCACCGCTAAAGAAGTTCATGAATTGTTGGAGCACTTTAAATTGCAAGATGAATTTCCATTGCTTGAAGCTACTTATAAAATTATCTATGAAGGTGGTAAAGTAGATGATTATCCAGAGATCTTGAACAATGATTAGATTTAGTTTAAAGTAAAATTAATTTTAACATGTACATTAGATTTAAATAAAGGTATTTTTGGTTTATATTAAAGCTCCGATGTAATGTAGATCCGTCAAGGTGTGATCAAAATTATCGGTGTAATGCGGAGAAAACGAAGCCCTTTTCGCAACTGTAAAAGCAATGGCGCACAAGGAGTTGAACTTTGTGCTTGATGGTACTATATGCACGTATTATTTAGCGCTACTTCACTATACCTCCATCCCAGCAATATTTTTCAAAACAACGCTTACACTGCTCTGTTTGTTCTTGACCCAACCTCTCTTGTTCTCTTCTAATTATTGCACACCCCACACACGCATTCCATTCGGCATCCAACGTACCATTCAACCTCGAAGCAATTTCAAAGCCATTCCTAATCATGGCGTTTCTATCCGATAAATTATACAGCAACTTGAAGGTAGAAGTATTGGAAGGAAATGAATATGGCTTATTGGCAACATAAATAACAAGTGGGACATCAAAAACATTGGGAGTTAACGATGTAAGGTTACTGGCATTGCATCCGAAGAATGTAGGTTTAGATGTAAGATTCAATTGGAGAAACGACTTTTGGTCAGGTACATAGGGAAAGGGTGTATTTTGTCCAGCAATGGAAAACTGACGTTCATATGTCTTCACCATGCTTGTGCCATCGGGCAAGCCAGATACATCAGCAGAATTGTCAAATGCAAATACCACACTTAAATTTCTCTTCAATAAAGGCACAAGGGGTATATTTTGACCATCCTCACCCCCATCCACTAAATATAGAGTCTTTGATGACTCAATTGGTGTTTCTGGGTCTTGACTTTTGTAAAATGCATTTGGATTGTACTTTGCCACATCAATGTTTGATTTAATTATCGGATCGATTATGCTGTCATTAATGAAATCCTTCAAGAAATCAGGCAATGAAGAATTATCAATTGATAGGATAATTGCATTGAACAACGATGAAGAAGTTCCCATGAAAAAACCAGCATTGTCAAACCCATTAATACAAGAGGAGTTTTGGGGGAACCCATTATCCAATAATGTACCGATCGATTCTGTCTCCACAAAAGAATTCAAGTAGGGTGACTCACTTCCTACCTCAAATGGAGTGAATGAAAACACGGTACTGTTTAAATTAGCAATGGTTGTATCGGGAACCCTACCAACTGCTAACAAAATAGGGAATGGTGCATAATGGTTGCGATAATTTGTTTCATTCATAACATCACTAAATCGATATCCAGCTCCATATTGCTTCTTATTGCTCAAGAACTGGTAACTTAAAGCTCTGCCCCATACGTCAGTGATGCTTATGCCAAAACCGGCTTCTTGCTTGGCTTTCACTTGTTCCCCTATATCGATCCACATTAGCAATTGCTCAACGATGTTATCATCAAAGTAGTTCAAGATCGAGTTTGCCGTCTGCCACAAGGTATTATTGTGGATAAGTTCGTCAATGCTAATTAAATTATTGCTCGCCACTGAACCAACTAGCCATGCGCCCCCAGATAGCCCGGTAATATAACTACTTGATTGCAATATTCCACCGAGACCAGTACCTTGTAGAATATGTGTTCTAGAATCCAAAGCGGCATACTCTCCTGCTCCTGTCAAAAGCGCACGATATCCTCCACCCGAGAATGCTATACCAATTGTGGGATTAGTCTCATCTAAGAAAGACGTTACATTAAAGTCAACCAATTTGGCCGATTGTAAGTAGTTTGCCAAATTCAGTTTTGCAATTGGGTATCTGGAATGCATGTAGGTTAATTCGTTCTCATTAAGACCTGTTGAGGCTGACCTGGTGAGCTTTCCACTGGGACACTTTACTCTCACCGGAGCATACCCATTAGTTACAGTTAATACACAGTGGGCATTGATTAGAAATAACAAGATATCAAGTAACATTGTTTAGTTAAAAAGGGTTGCTCTTTGATTCATAGGGCTGATCTTTGACAGCATTCTATTTTTGATTTTTTGCAACACGTTTTTTACCTCTTGAAAAAGTAACTATATGTATTCATGCAAGTCAATCAACCAGCAAAAGTTTCATTTGAATAGGGCTTGGTGATGGATTGCTGCCCTGCTTTGTAATTTAACACTGATTCGCATAATAGACTTGAACAAACTGTTCAGCCATGAACAGAAAGATGACCACATCCTCCTTTTTTAGCATCAATTGGGCCTATCTTGCATTGATATACTCCAACATATCAACGATCTAGTAAGTTAATGGCTACTACAACTCGCTACTCTAGCCCTGATGATAAATATTGCATCCACATGTTGTCAATTACCATCTAGTCTTGTTTACTGGACAAGTTTGCTGTGTTGGCGGAAAATAACCAGTAAAATGCGGATAATTCCCAACTTTCCTATTAATCCACAATTATCTTTTCCGTTTTGCTTTGCACCATTGTTGCAGAGAATGTTGATAGTAGTCACAAGGTGAAACAATGGTGCACTATCGGTGATGCCTCGCGTAAAATTTTTGTATTTCGCGTATTTTGGTTTATCATGGCACGTGTACCACTATTGTAAATACAGTTTTAGCACAAAAAGGGTCCAGGACAATGCTATATCCGTTCGGTAATTTTGGCGAACATCAAAACAAAACTAAACTTAAACCAACCGCGGCTACCCTAATTTCATTGTGTTTCGATAAATTTAACATTTCTTACCTAATCAATCATTTCGCGTTCTGGTCAATGGTGACTGCAAAGTTCCAACCCACCCCCATTGTGTGTCATGTTTACCTTTTCAGAGAAGCTGATGTTACTACTAGGGAATGATTAGGACCCCACGTTTCAAAATTGCAGAAATGATTAGTCTATTCACCAATATTCAAAACAACAGACTCAATCTATATAATTGCAATTATTCCACCAATATGCTTATCCACAAAGTTTACTCGCAAAATATACAACCATGATGTTGATTTTGGCGTTGCTTTCCTTCTTAGAGCTAACCATTGCATCTTCATCGCACGGATACGCTCCAGTAGCCGTTCCATGTCCAGGCGGTCAATTAACTCGGTCATCTCTCACTGGCCTCAACCCAGACGAAAAGAGATATGTGGACAATAGATACAACAACGTTGCTAAACCTAGTTTAAAGTCGTTCCTTTCGGGTACTAATATGACTGATTTCGATATTGATTCGTTTTTGGATCAGGCTAATCCAACTATTGGTATAACATTCTCAGGTGGTGGATACAGAGCACAGCTCAGTGGTGCTGGCCAGTATGCAGCATTAGACTCAAGGACCAACGTTGTCAATGGCAAAGGCTTAGGTGGTATCTTACAGTCAACCAGTTACATCTCGGGACTTTCAGGTGGTGCATGGCTAGTTGGCTCATTGGTAAGTAATGACTTGTTATCTGTGGATGAATTGATTGACCAAAATACGCTTTGGCAGTTGCAATATTCGTTGTTGGCGAATGGCGACTCTATTCACAGTAATTGGGATTATTGGACTCTGATAAATGACGAAGTGAAGGGAAAGAAGCAGGCTGGGTTTGATGTAAGCATCACCGACGTATGGTCAAGAGCATTGAGCTATCAGCTACTTAGCAACTCAGATTACAATGGTGCTGGATACAGATTTAGTGACATAGTCAACCAACCAAGTTACCAAAGCTACCAAGCACCTTACCCTATCTTAGTTTCTGTTGGAAGAGAGCCTGGAACTGCGGTGATCAATTTCAACAGTACTGTGTTTTCCCTCACACCTTATGAAGTTGGTAGTGAAGATCCTACGTTGCAGGCGTTTGTCGAGACCAAGTATCTTGGAACACAATTAGATAACGGCCAAGCCAACAACCGTTCTTGT